CCGAGCCTATCGAAGTTTACAAACTCGATAGAAATGAAATCGAAAATATCGATCTAAATTTATTTACTCAAAATCCACCAGCACTAATAATAATACTGAGATATCTGAGAGTCTTTAGATTTTACACATACAGCAAAAAATCTGCCTAACGTAAGTAATCCACCTAACGACGACAACAACTCCATGCACGTTGAACCGACCTTGACCGTCACCGTGAGATAGATGAAAATGCTGACGATCACACAATCCATTCTAACGCGGAAAAATCATCCTATCTTCGGTATTCCAATAATAATAGAAACTGCAGTTAATTACAGGGGTAAAATCAAATAATTATTAACTCCAGTATTACACTCACCAGCAAATCCTAAGACGAAAATTTTATTTGGAAGTTGAAACGTATTATTTTACAACTATCACAAAATAATTTAGAAAAAGATATAATCGATTTTGTCAAAACCTACATAAATCCTGATACATTATATTATTTATATTTCGAAAACCCTGACCTGTATGAACCCTTTTCAAACACTCTTCAAAATTACTTCAAACACTCTGCATTAAAACTCAGAAAATGCACTAAAAAATTAATCGATGTAACTAACAACGATGACCTGAAAGAAATAATCCAGAATTATCATGAAAGTAAGTCTAATCATCGAGGAATCGATGAAACTTACAATAGAATAAAAGAAAAATATTATTGGCCCTTTATGAAAAATTCTATCCAAACTTTCATCAATGATTGCGAAATTTGCCAACAAAGCAAATATGAGCGACACCCTATAAAAATACAGATGAACATTACACCTACTGCAACAAAACCCTTCCAAATCCTTCATATGGACACTTTTACACTTGAACAAAATAAATTTTTAACAATTATCGATAGTTTTTCGAAATATGCCCAAGCATATCATCTCAAATCACTTTGCAGTACGGAAATCGTAAATAATCTTATACAATTCTTTTCTCATCACGGAGTTCCAGATCAAATCATAACAGACAATGGTACCGAGTTTAAAAACTCAGTTCTCTCAGAGCTGCTAGCCTTACACAAAATAAAAATACATTTTTGTTCAGTTAACCACCCCCAATCTCAAGGTTCAATCGAAAGGTTCCATTCAACCTTGATCGAGCACGTTAGATTACTTAACACAAGAGGTTTCTTAAAAACACCAATATCACACAAAATTGTATATGCCATTTTAGCGTATAATAATTCGCTCCATTCTGTCACAAAACTCAAACCTATAGACATCATAAATGGACATATTACCGAAAACAGCCCTTTTAATTTAGATATCGATAAAATATTAATTAACGACTATGTCAATGATCATAAAGAACGATCCCGTTTATTATACTCAAAAATAAATGAAAACCTAGTAAACGAAAAAGAAAAACGAATAAATAAAATAAACGAAACCCGTGACGACCCGGAAATATTCAATGACACTGAAGAAGTAATTGTCAAAAAACACACCAGACAAAAAACTGCCAATAAGTTTGGCAAGAAAACAAAACTAAAGCAGATTAATACTAAAAGCAAAACGGTCTCTACTGATGCTCAAGATAAAATTCATATGGACAACTTAAAACGTCCTCTCAAAAAACCTTTTAAATTTAAACCCTAAATGACCGATAATATTTATTTTCAGCATACCCGTAATTCTGGGGATGGAAGATAAAATAGAAATCAAGAACTTAGTGAACAACCCCGGTATATATCCAGCAAAAATTGGAACGGCTAAGCTTACACAATATTATTATAAATTAATACATTTTTACGATCTTCAGCCTCTTATTGAAGAAATTGATAAGTTAAAGTTACAATCTGAAAATATAAAACTTCAAATTAGCAAACATACAACATATTTAAACGATTCCTCAAATTACATAAAAGTCTTAAATTTTATCGAAAACAAATTAAGTGATAAATTATCTGAATTAGTTCCATATTCTCCAAGGAAAAAACGTGGACTAATAAATGGTTTGGGATCTATTTTCAAAGCTATCAGTGGTAATCTAGATGCTAGTGATGGTGAACGATATGAAAAACTAATATTACAACTTCAAAATAATCAAAATAAATTATCAGAAACAATTAAAATGCAAAATTCGCTATCTATAAAATTAATCGATAATTTTAACAATACATTAAAAAATATAATGCATAATGAAAAACTGCTTCAATCTAAATTAGAACAAATTGCATTTATAATAAATGGAACAGTTCACCGCGAAAATTCTATGTTCATAAAAGATGTTTTAAATCAAATTATAGAACTATATAATATTATTTATTCTATTACACAAGATATTGAAAATTCAGTTACGTTTGCTAGACTAGGGATAATGCACCCGAGTATAATTAAACCATTGGAATTCTTGGAAGAACTGAAACGTATACAGAGTGGCTCAAATACATTTTTATTACCTATCGAACTTGATCATAAAAATGTTTTGTTACTAGAAAAGTTAATTAAAATAGAAAGTTATTCTTTTAAAAATAAAATTACATACATCTTAAATATACCCATTATTCACCCTTCGGATTTTAACTTATTTCACATTTATTCCGTACCAATAATGGGAGAAAGTCAGTTTAAGGCTGTAATTCCAAAAAATAAATTTCTAATAATGAATAAATTGTACTACGCGTACTCGAGCGATTCCTGCACGAAGATCTTCCAAGAGCAATACCTATGCAATGAAGTGGAACTACTAGAAATCCAAGAAGTCAACCCCTGCACTGTCCAGTTTTTGAGCTTAAAAAACCTTTCCACTTGTCAAAAACACAATGTTCGCGTCAACCGGCCGATCATCAAACATATCGAAAATTCAAATCAGTGGATTTTTATAATCCCCGATGAAGAAAATATCAAGTTACACTGCCACCATCAAGAAGAAATTTTGAAAGTAAACGGAAGCCTTATAATTCATATTCCAGAGGGATGTGAACTCTCAACTCCTAACCAAAGAGTTAAGAACACTGAGATATATTCTAAACAAAGTTTTAACTACCCAAAGATAAACACCCTAACCAGTTCGCCACAAAATATGGACCTAACAATATCACTGGAAAATGTCGAGTTAGACGAACTACAAGATATAAGAGGAAAAATACTTCAAAATCAGCCGAAAATAGATAATACTGATTTTTCAACATCTCCTAGTATCTGGACAATCTTTATCTATATATCAATAATCTTATTGATTAGTTTTTATTTAATCAGAAGATTCATATCAAGATATGTCTACAAGAAGCCCGTACGTCAAGAAAATCCATTAGATGTTCAAATCCCACTGTAACCCTTGGATTTGAATCTACAGAGGGAGGAAATATATCAGAAGATTCCTATCCTTCAATAAGAAGAAGAGAGACAGCCGTTCCCACCAAGACAATTAAGCTGACATATACTTTTTACTTTTTATTCTAATTCATTTTAATTAAGAGTTGATTGTCAACCATCATAGCATACAACATGTACTAAAACCAATTTTTGTAATAAATACATTTTAAAAGCATTTCTGAGTGTTCGAGAGTTATTTCGTGCTTAAGTTTTGGACAATGAAATAAATTAATTTGATACATTTAGATATAGTTTAAGAATTTAGAATAAAATATTGTAGTTATTGTTGTAGAAATAAAACTCCTCAGACAAGGTTCTACCTTAAGAGGATATTATGTTTATTCACTATTTTGTATTCGTAAGTTATGTATAAGTCTTGTATATACTTTGTAATTGGATCAGTTTGAATAAACATTATTTATTATTTATTAGTATTATATTATTATTATTATTTATTAAAATTTACTTGGCTATTTGACATGGCTTTGACTTCTGACTTTGAGTTCTAAAGGGTTAATTAAAGCTACGTTCGGGACAGATCGGATGAAGACGAATGCCTATTCGCTCTTTGGCTCAATACGTTAGCGTTTTGTACGTACGTAAAGGCACGCAAAGATACGTATCTCCTAACCGTACACGCAAGTTAATTTTTCACTGCGCGAGCGTACATGTCAAACGATACGTTTACGTCTACATCTTTGGCCGCGCTTTAACTAGACGCTTGGCACAATACGTAAACGTATCTCTCGACACGTAGCGCAGAATCTTATGTTACTTCTGCCGTTGCTTTGTCATGTAAACAAGAGTAAAGCAAGTATTTTGACGTACTTGACGTATATGGTACATTTGTATTTGAAAATTGTTTTGTGAAACGCCGTGTTTATTTTTATTTTAAAACTGAATTGATACGTATTATTCCTAGGGTTCCCAACTTGAGCATCGGCGATTCCGGGACAATTAGCTTTAAGCTTTTAAATAATTCAAACAAAACAGTAAATATTAGAATTTTTTATTTTTAAACATGAAACATAACATAGATAAGTAGGAAAAAATATAACATAGAATTATAAACATAAAACATAACATATAGATAACTTTTGGTAATTAGGAAGTGTAGGTGAATGGTAAGTAAGTACCTACTTAAAAAACTAATAATAAATATTATTGGCAAAAATAACAATTAAACCACAAAATAAACGCTTTTACTTTCTTTACTTTTTCATATATTTTTGTTGAGATCGTGCAGCATGAAGCAGTTTTTGATCTGATTTAACTAGAGCCAAAAAAGTCCTCACACTTTAAATTAAAATTTAGTCTTACTTGTATTTCTGATTTTACCTGAGATATAATACTCAATCGATTTCTTTCCTTGGTCCACAATGCTTCCATAATGCTGAAAACACGTTCGCAAAGCATTGCCGACGCGGAATCGACATTATGTAGGAAACTAATTTAAACATTTCATTTAAGTTATCACTGGCAACATCAGCACTAAAAATCTGAACCCACTTTTCCATTACATTTTTTCAGAAAAAGATTCGAGATTTTCAATAATATTATTTAACTAATATATAGTCATTATATAACTCGTCTTGATCTATATCTATTTCCATTAGATCAAGAAGCAATTGTATTTTCTGTAATCTAGCTTATTATTTTTTTCAAATCTAAACACGCCAAACTTGCAAGAAAATCATTATTAAAATCATACCATTTCGTCAAATAATTTAAACACCTGTTCAAAAAGCATACTGCCTGTCTTTCAAATTGCAACCTTTTACTATCTGTCATTTTTCTAATCATTCGGTTGGCAGAATTACCATAAAATTTGTCGGATAGTCTTTGCCCCAAATTAACTTTTAAATTATTCATTAGTGAATGTAATTCTATTACAGTGGTTTCATTATGTTCTAATTTCAGTATGATGTTTTGAAATATTACCAATATATTTTGAACAAAATAAAGTAGTGCAAGAACTAACGATTCCTCGTCATCTTCATTAAATACTTCCCAAATTATTTTGGAACAGTTTTCTTCTCCTTCAGATAAGAAATATGATTTAAGTGCTGGCCAGTTTAACAATAGCCTATCTATTGCTGGCAATAAAGATAGCCATCTAGTTGCAACATGTCTTAACAAATCCTTATATTCTAATTCTACAAATTCAAAAAAACTTTTTAGAGCTTGTACACGTTTGGCAGAACTTGAAAATTCGTTATATAATTTTATAACAAAACTTTCAATATCAAAATTTAATCCTTTGCTGGCAAACTTTATTGTGTTATGTAAAATGTGACATTTACAATTACTGGCAATTAGCTTACTGTTAATTGCCTTCAATTTTTGAAATACTGAACAGCGAACACCGAAATTGACAGATGCATTATCTCCACTATAGCTAGTAACATGTTCAAGATTTAGATTATTATTTTGTAATTTTTCAATAATTTGGTTGGCAATAGCTTCGCTAGTTTCATCTGAGTCCTCATAGAAATCTAAAACTCCCCGAACAATTCCTCCACTTCTAGAAAAAAATTGTACACATAGCGGAAATAGTTTTATATTTCTCCTATTTGACGCATCGGACGCCACGGAATAGTAAATCGACTTTTTTAAATTATCTAGTAAGCATTCTTGAGATTTTGGAGCTAAAACACCTTCCACGATACTCGCAGCTTTTGTTCTTCCACAAGAAATCTTGAGCAAAATTTTAGAATCAGTGATTAACTTGGGTAGCAACTTGTTATGACAATCCTGAGCATTGTAACTTATTTGATGCCTAACTGAATGGTATGTGTTCACAATTTCAATAAGGGTAACTTCATCCTCTTCTTTAGTAAACTTTTTTACAAAAAATGTACGCAATGACTTACTTGATTTTAAATCACGAATATTATTCTTATGTTTTTGACTATTACAATGATTTTCAACTGCTCTTTTTCCCTCAAACTTTACTGTAAAACGAACACTACATAGTTTGCACATCCCATGTTCAGCGTCTACCTTTTTGATATGTTCGAACATATCTTCCCATTCTGGAATGTACGTACAATAGCGCTTAATTTTCTTTTTTTGAGGTTGAGAGGAATGGGGAGTTTCATTTTCTTCCATTTTACGTTTTATCAATAAAATCTAATAAACAGTAATTAAGTATATATTAAAACAAAATGCTCAATGTTACAAATAACTTTTCTTTACCTACTGCCGAGATTGCAGAAAAGAAAAATAAGCCAGACTCAATCTTCGCAAATCGCAGCGCACTAACCATATTTTATCACTATTTAATATTTAACCTACACAACCTCGCACCTCGAGAAATCAACTAAACTACGGCGTATGCGCGACGCGACGCGGCAGTCGAGCAGTCGGTCGTCAAAGTTCGCAGCGTTGCCGGTTGCCCTAAATTTCTGAATATCGTAAAAATACTGTTAAAGATTAAAAAGTTAAAAATTTCCGGGATTTTTAAGGTCCCGGCCAAGGTAAAACTTTCGCCGGGACAAACTTTCTGATTCCTGGTTAATTAATTAAACGGTTGGGAACCCTAATTATTCCATTGATTTCATATTAAATTTATAAAAGTAGGTAATATCGAAAGTTGAAGAAAATTATTAATATTGGTATTATGATATTATAGAAAGTAGTCCTTAAAACTTAAAATGTTCTTAGTAATAATTTTTTTTTAAAACAGACACACTTTTATGATTATTTATTAGATTCTACCTTCTAGAATCCTCCTATGGATGTTGGCTAAAAACTAACATTATTTAATTAAATAGAATGAAGAATGAGTTTATTATGATGCTTAATAATTTCATATTATTAATTTATTGTATTAAAATAGGACCATTTTTCGTTACGCAGGCCTCAAAATTTATGAAATAACTTAATTAGCTAGCCAGTTTTTGAAACTAGTTGTTGCAGAATTTGTAGGTTCGGGATCAATCGCGTGAAATCCAAGCTCCCTTCGGCTCGATACGTTTGTGTTTTGAACGTACGTAAAGGCACGTAAAGATACGTATCACGTATCAGAAGTGAACGGAAGTGAATTTCTCACTGCGCAAGCGTACATGTCAAACGATACGTTTACGTCTACGTCTTCGGCCGTGCTTTAACTGTCTATTGTTGTTTGCTAGCATGCACACACCAAAGGAGATATATAGCTACGTATAGCCGCGTGGAACAAAAGTGCAGCCTGTTTTCGGCTTTTTTTAGAGTGACAAACAATTTTAATTTTGGTTACGGAGTTATGATTTATTAGGTTAAGATACGAAAAACTAATTTCAATTCTGTTAAGCTCCAGGCTATTTTATTCTAAGTTTGTCAAGAACGCGTTTCTATGGAAATAAACAACAATTTGAAGCTTTGTATGATTTTTTAAAAAATTTCAAAATATGTTAAAGAAGTCCAAGCCTTTTCCCGAAAGACTAACCGTCTTTTAAATAACAAATATTGTAATATTATTTGAGGGGCGTTTTCACCTCTTGGAATTTGAGATTCGAGAAACCCCTCCTTATCGAACCTCTACACCCCACAGTCAATCCGTTTGCCAAAAATTAGCTTTAAACGTCAAGCAATTTAAGCAGAATTGTGATTACTCAGTGGCCAGATTTTTCGCAACACCCTGTATACATTTTTAAAAAATCTTAAAATATGTAAAAAAAGAAAATAAAATATACTAAATATAATTCCACCCCCCTTTTTACTCCCTTAGGGAATGAGTTTTAAAAAATCCTTTCTTATCTCACGCAAACAGCATAAAAGGAGCCCCTGTGCAAAATTTCAGCTTTTTAGGGTCAAGGGTTTGGTCTGGGCGTTGATGAGTCGGTGATGAATGAATCAGAACTTAGAGATTTATATATGTTAACTTTAGATTATTTTAACCCTTAAATAAAACAATCAACCAGATAAACCACTTTTATTATTACGTCATACAGCTTGTGCTATTTTAATATTGACTGGTACTCTGGTGCGCTCATACTGGCGCGGAGCCGGCGCGTTCGCGATGCGTTCCACCGGCCTCTCCCGTCGGTGGTAAGGCAGAGCCATCTAGAGCGTCCTTACGCATGCTGATCTCGCTCGGCCACCCTGTTATCATGATGTCATTTTTATCATACGTTAACATATATATATATAATATATATATATATATATATATATATATATATATATATATATATATATATATATATATATATATATATATATATATATATATATATATAATGTTATGAACCCGGTGAGCTCAGTTTTCCCTACTGATGTTCTCTGCTTCTTGATATTTGTAGCTAGACGAACGGAAAGAACATTTCTGCTGGCAAAAGAGTTTACAAAATCAATACCCGGCACATTATTTTCTCACTGTGGAACATCTCGGCCTTGTTTATTCATAAACTTCTCGATCACACCTCGTACATCTGCTTTTGTCATCGGGATTACCCAATCATTAACAGTTCCTAATGTTTCTGCTATCAATTTCTCTTCGACCTTAGATAAAACGGTTGGATGTCCGGGATTATTCTCATGAGACCCACGAATTTTGTATATTAACGTCTTCTTCGCTATAGTTTTTGTATACACGGGCACCCATTTTCTTGTAGGTTCTAACCATTTTAACAAACAAATCATCGATACATATAATAAGAGTCGGATGGTAGCTAATATCCTCCGCTACAAAAGGAGTAAGATCTCTCACAACTCTACAATATAGATTAGAAATAACTAAATCTAACAACCTGCCGGTGCTTTTTTTTTGAGAGGGGTAAAAAATCTTAATCTAAAGACCTTACCGACCTGGTGTTCTGGTGGTCGGCGTGTGTCGGATTCGAATTTCCTGGAGTTCGCCTACCGACTAAAAACTTCCCCTCCTCCGTTTCCTACACCTCTTATTACGGAACTGTATCCATTCGCATTACTTCATAATAAGGGTTGTCTAGTAATCACTCGTCCCTAATCTTCTCTTCCAAGATATTTTTAACCACACCATATGCTCGGCTCCAGCCCTCAGGTGACTCCATTAACTCATCCATCATGCTTCGGGCGTTGAAAGTTTTGCCGGTTTTATTCATAAAAGCTATTCGATAATCTTCCCATCTCGGACACACAAACATTGTATGGTCTCGATCGTCAGGCTGATTACAGTATTTGCACTTATCAGATTCTCTCCTGCGAAACTTGAATAAGTAGGCATTGAAACATCCGTGACCGGTGAGTGCCTGCGTAAGAAAGTAGTCCGGTTCTCCATGGGTCCTCTCTGTCCATCTTCTCAGGTCCGGGATTAGTTTCCTCAACTGCTCTCCTTTTACTCCATTCTCCCATCTGATTTGCCACTGCCTCATAACCTCATTCTCTAACTCTAGACTTCCTTGTCCTACGTATCTCTTGGCTCTCTCTTTGATTTTTAGGTCAATCGGCGGGATGCCCGCCAATATTCCGGCCGCTAGTTCCGATACTGTCCTGTAAGCACTACAAATGCGTAGATTTACTTGCCTTTGCATTGAGGCGAACTTTTGCGTAAGCTTTCTGTTTTCGGTGACTGTGTGCCAGATTGGTGCACCGTAGAGCATCTGTGAATGTATGACCGATGCCAGTATTCTTCTCTTTGAGGCTCTGGGACCCCCGATATTCGGCATTAAGCCGTTTAACGCACAAAGTTTTTCCAGCCTTTTCCAAAGTTCTACTGGTATGCTCTGCAAAAGTGAGCTTTGTGTCTAGCCAAATACCGAGGTACTTGATGGAATTTTTGGGTCGTACAATAATTCCCTGAATTTTGAATTCGACTGGCGTCATCTTCCTTTTCCTGGTGAGGAGTATTGCTTCTGTCTTCTCAGGAGCCAATGTTAAGCCATTTATCTGCATCCAATTGGACACCCTTATTAGAGCGGTGTTTGCTTTGTCCATCAGTATCTGTTCTTGTTTTGCCGTTACAACGAGGGCAAAATCATCAGCAAACCCGATCAGTTTGACATCATCTGGCATATCTGTTTCCAGCAGACCATCGTACATTACATTAAACAAAGTAGGTCCCAGTAAAGACGTTTGGGGCACACCGCTGTTTATGGTCTAAGTAGTAGTCACTCCTTCAGCCTTTATAATGATTTCTGTTTTTGAAAGATATGAAGCTATCATGTTTATAAGAGCTTTATTCACGTCTCTTCTTAACAGTTGATCGATTATTTTCTGCCAACTTGCACTATTAAATGCGTTTTTGACGTCCACTGTGATTACACAGCAAATCCTTTGATGGGCATGGGAGTATAGTCCTCTGCTTCGATCTAAATTTTTAGTCTACCAAGGATTAGCTGCTCGAAGAGTTTCCCTTCCACATCCAATAGACAGATTGGTCTGAAAGATGAGGGACGATCTATAGGTTTATTGTCTTTTCTTATGAGGGTTAGTTTAGCACGTTTCCACTCCGCTGGAAACCGCTCTGTTTTTGCCAATTTATTGTAGGCTGCTAGTACGTAGTCCGGCGCGGTCTACGCTGCTAGTTTTACCATTTCAGGTGGGATCTTGTTTGGTCCTGGTGCTTTGTTATTTTTTAGTTTTGAGGCTGCGCGGCTCAGCTCTTCCATGCAGAACTGTAACGGTTTGTTAGTCTTAGTTTTGCGGTATGTGACTAATTCGTGTTTTGGGAAGAGATGATTGACGATATCCATCACATTCTCCAATGTAATCTGCTGTTTCGGCCGAAATCTCTTGATTTGTGTCATAACAATCCTATATCCGTTCCCCCAGATATCCTGATCAACGGTGTCACACCACTTTTTCCAGCAGGTTCTTTTTGCCCTCTTTATGGTATTTTTCAGGTCTTTCCTGGCTTCCTTGTAGCTATCCCAGCAGTAGGAGTTGCCGTTTAATGGAGATCTACGGCTGTTCTGGTTTATATTCTCCTCCGTTTTATACATTCTCTCCGTTTTGCTTCCTTTTCGCTATTCCAGCAATACATGGGCTGCCCTTTAATGGATTTTTTTTTTATAGGCATGTTATATTACAGGTTTTTATTAGGATTGATGTAAATTCCCTGCTTGATGGTGGCACTTTATTTTTGCATGTTTTGAGAAACTCGGCAGCTTTTTGACTCCATTTTTTTAACATTCCAGGTATTTTTTTGA